AAGTAATTCGTATTTTTTAATACCTATTAGAGTGAGTTACACTATAAAGAAGTTTCTTACGTTGCCTTTGACCTTGTACGGAGTTTTAATTTTTACGTTTTTTCAATAAAAATTAATATGAACACCCAGTTTAAAGTCAAAGGATATTAAGTTTTTTTTTCTATTTCAATATGTAAATCTAATAATTGCTTTCGCTTTCTGTCACATTCAATCATTAACAATTCCTTTTCCAATTTCTGTTTGTGCAAATCTGCTAGTTCTAGCCGTTTATCAAGCAGTTGGTCGTATTTTTCAGCTAATTCAGACCGTGTTAGAGCCAGGAGCGGATCCAGCTTTAAAGTCAGGGGGCGGGTTATGTAGAAAAAATACAGTCTTCTGTTATCTATGAAATTAGAAAAATGATCGTCGTTTTGTGCAGGGGTGGCGCACGATTATTGCAAAATTTAATGTTTTCCGTCCCGTTTTTGCATAGAGAGCATTCCAGAGATAACTAAATGGCCTTTATTCGAAGTTTCTCTAGAATCATTCGAGCCACAGAATTCGTTTTGGCATCGTTGGATAGAGAATTGAAAAGTCGATTCCGTCGTAACAACGTTAATGAGAAAATTCGAGTAGTTTTGACCCAGAATGCAAAATTTGCATATCAAAATGAGCAAGAACGCTCATTTGTACATCAGTCTAGAGATAAATAAATGGCCTTTTTAGAAAGTGAACCATGGATGGGTTTTCAAGAAGTTTCTCAAGAACCATTCGAGCCACAAAATTCGTTTTTGCATCGTTGGATAGAGAATGGAATGAGGGGGGTGATGGGGGTCATGACCCCCATGACCCCCCCTTGATCCGCCCTTGATTAGAGCTTTGATTTGCATTGTTAGTCCACGTCTAGTACATGCTAGTACAGTAGTCAGTAGCATAGATCAAGGCTTATATATATCATAGGTCAGTAGTACACATATATGAAGACAAGTATGACACAAATAAAATATAACATAACCAATATATTACTGGCCACTATGCTGTGAAAGATCATGTGAAATAAAATTCGATAATCATGAAGATAGCAACCTAAGCCAAAAAAGCGGAGGTGCCAACGCATTTTTTTTTAAAGACCGGTTAAGATATAATCAGTGGTTAGCTAATCAGTGTTTAAAGCGAAAACGGTGCAACTGGGGGTTAGTCTATGGACTGAGTCAGCAGAATAGCAAAGTTGCGCATGCTCATTCTATGGGAGAATGGTCGGCGATTCCATTCCATCAAATTTACATTGATATTTGCTAGAAGTAACATGGGAGAGTCTCATTCAGTGAAAAGTTAGAGAGAGTACACACGTTTAATTATGGCTGGATGAGTGAATTATTAAAGATAAAGAAGAAGAAAGATGGACACCTTCTTCTTCAGCATTTAGATCCCTTCAATCGGGTGATGGTTCTGTTGTTTGTCAGTAGATCCGCTGCTAGTATATTCGGATGAATTCATTTGTCTGTTTGTGTATCTGGAGTAAATGGTCGATATTTTTTGAGTAACTCCTTTTAGTTGCAGGTCCCTCCTGATATTTACATTTCTCTCAGGCGTTTCGAATAGAACCTCTCAGTAATTTCGATGTTTTATTTAGAAGCGTTACCCCATTGTTCAGCTCCATACATCCAAATTCATTTGAGGGTGCATATATATAGTTACATCTTGTTTTCGAAGAATAGTTTGGATCTTTTTCCTAGTAACCAGTACATTTTTCTGGGCTTTAGGCTTAGTTGCTAGCGTGTCGTCCAGATATGATTACGCCAAGTGAAAAGACGATCC